TTTCAGCACTTCTGGAAGTCTTCTTCAGCAGGGGCTGGGCAGGACAGAAACCACCCACAGAGGGAGGAAACTACACACGTGTGGGAGAGGATTTTCTGTATTTATTGCCACAGTTTCCGTGCCTCCTGAGCCCTTCTCACTGAAGGGAGTCCCGTGTCTCCGGCTGCAGCACAGCCCACCTCCGTTGCCAGGCAGTTTTTCAAGGAGTACTGAATGTTTCTGGCATCCACACTTCTTGCTTTCAGCCCTTTTCATTCTGTCCCCTCTGTTTTCCGTGTTGCCAAACACCTCATCCATTCTGGGCACAGAGGGAAATGTGTGTTATTATTCCTTACCATCCTTGCAGAGACCAACTGGTGCACGAGAGCTGAAGGCACGTGTTGGGGGCTCTGCAGTTGTTATTTCTTCCTGATCACCTGTCCTGCTTCAAACTCCACGGTGGAAATATGTATTCTATAGAATCCCAGACTGCTTTAGGCTGTTAGGGACTTAAAGATCATCTTGTTCCAGCTCCCTGCAACAGGCAGGGACACCTTCCACTATCCCACGTTGCTCCAAGCTCCCTCCAACCTGCCCTTGGATATTCCAGGGATGGGGCAGCCACAGCTTCTCTGGGCAAGCTGTGCCAGGGCCTGCCCACCATCACAGGCAAGAACTTCTTCCTGATATCCCATCTAATCCTGCCCTCTGTCATTCCCCCTTGTCCTACACATACCTCCACACTAAAAGCACTATCACAGAATCACAGAACTGTAGGACACCAGGCTGGAGACACCTGAAGGGTCATCTGGTCCAACCAGCTCAGAAGGCAGAGCTCAGGAGGCCACTTCAGCTTGACTTGCAGCAGGAGGAAGGTGCCAACCTCCTTTGAGATGCTTTGAAAAAGGCTCGTCTATTTTTCCAGCACCTTCTGAAAAGCTTTGTTCAGTGACAAACTGCCCTTTTGGCTCAGAACAGTTCACAGCAGCTTATCTAAAAAGCTGCAAAGCCAGCCTGAGAATCCAGACAATGCTTCCATTGAGTAGGAGAGCCCCAGCACTGACATGACAGGGTGGTTACAAAACCAGTTGGTTCCATGTCTGGGTGCTGGTTTTCCTCACATTTCCCTGCTGCTGCAAAGCAAGCTCCATCGGGAGGATCCATCCCTACAGACCTGCCCCTCTGCGTGCCCGCATTTATTCTGTGTGTTAAATCCTGACAAACACCACTTCCCTCACTTGGCATCCCTGGAGGTGTTACCACCATCCCGATGGAACTGTCCCCACCACTTAGCAGCGTGGCAAAGCAAAGTTCTGCGTGGATAAATCACTTCTCTGAAAGCATTTTCTTTTTCTCTCTGGGTCGAGTCAAGGGAACTCAGAAAAGGGCTCTTGCAATGGCATTCGGGAGCAGAAAGACCCTATTGAGACAAAAACACAATAACCAGTTTTGCCCCTGCTTTAAAAATTAACCACCATTAACTCCAGGCTCGGCAGGGCTCCAGGCTGCCAGCAGCACACTCCTTCCAAGCAGCTTCCCAGAAACTCCCAATTCAGCTTATTCTCAAAAGCCTGGTGACATTCGGGCAGCCCCTGCTCTTCATCGGTTTCCCCTTGCAACAGCAAGTGAAGTTCAAGCTTCTGTCTCCTTTTAACTCTGAGCTTCACAGACTCGCCCCCACCTCCTACACAAGCACCAAAGCTCCAGGGAACATGAGTATGGTGGAAAAAAACAGTGGATTTGCTGGGGTCTCATCCATGCTGAAAGGTACTTTTACAGCTTTAAGCAAATTTCTGTAATTCAATCAAGGAAACATAAGTATAAAACATTTCCACTTTCAGGAAAGGAACATGACCAGGATCTATACTAGTAAAACTGTGTGCAAGAAAAATAAAAGACCATTATCCAATGGATTTATCCAGGAAAATTAAGCACAGCTTGGCTTTCAGTAAGTGAATGCACTGTAATTAAGATCAATATACTCCAGAAAAGGCTACTGCCAAAATTCAGGAAGGAGGAAATCAAGTTCAAACAAACCCAACTTGTTTTTTCACTGAAAAATGAGAAATCTGGTATCTAGAGACACATTTGGTGACTCCTTATGGAATGCAACACGAGCCATGTACCAAAACAACAAAGAGGATCTAAAGCAGCAGCAAAGCACAAATACACAGAATAAGGAGGCGAAGCCACACTTCACTGCACCATTTAGGAACATCTGGATCTGACACAAGCCCAGGTCAAAGGAAAACAACCAGAAATGAAAGATTCCACTAAAACTTGGAGGATAAGTACGTGAGGCATACAAGGAAAATGAATTATTTAAGACCATTAGCAGCAGGAGCTTGAGAAGCAGTGGGTGACCTGGACCACCTTGGAGTGAGATGGCCAATTAAGGGGATTAAAAATTGTGCAGAAAAGCAAAGCAGCCGCTTGGTGTGAAACTCCAGCACCCAGGTGGCTGCACGGGCACTCAGCCTTTCCAAAGGTTAATGTGGGAGGAGGCAGGTGGCTGCAGAACAAAGAAGAGAAGATGGAAGTGAATCCAAGAGCAGTGAGTGGCCAGGTCCTTTGTGCTCACACCTCACCAGACCCTGTCTACATCCAAGGTTTTAGTCAGGTCTGGAATGTTTCATGCAGCCTGCATCTTAAGAAAACAATAATCAATGTACAGAATTACCTGGAACTGTATCCAACAGGATACCATCTACCAAATTTCTACCATTTCTTTCCAGACTCCAGGTTGTGCCCTTTGGAGGCTTCCCTTGCCGTTTCCAAAGCTGCACAAGGTTACTGTGCCTTTATTTTTCTTACACAACTAAAACCACATGGAGTCTAAACTGCCCCAGCCTGATGGGACTTACCCAGACCGGGGTGGCTGCAGTTAAAAACAAAACCATTAGCAGAGTTCTCCAAAGGCTACTTAAGCAGATTTTTTTTTCCTTTCTTTTAAGCTCCTAAATGCAACTTTAGCAATTATTGGTTTAAGTAATTGCCGAACATTTAATGTTTACAGCAACATTTTACAACTAATTTACATGTAGTTCACTAAATGCTTTAGGGTTAATTGGTCTTTTGTTGAGCATTAAGCAGCTTGTTAATGATTAGAGAGTTGGGAAGAAAACTTAAGTAGGAGGTCGGTTTGGGGATGGTTTGGAATGGCTGGGGGGGATTTTTGCAGCAGCATTGACCTTCCTAATGGTCAGGCCCCAGCCTAGCACCATACGGTGTCTTTTACAGGGTCACTTGGAGGATACAAAAGGATCAATCTACTGCATGTGAGGGAGGATGAAACCACAGCAAAGGAGAGAGAGAAGATGCAATTCCTTGCACTTGGCAAGAATAATGTTGTACTGCCTGTGCCCTAAGGGAGCCCCAGGAGACCCAAGTATTCCCTGTCCTGAGGATCCAAAGGTATCAGGATGATTCCATGAGGAGGAAAAGTAAGAGTGTGCCTCCCTGGGGCCGTGTGTCACTGCACTGCCTGAGGACAGAGCACTCCAGACATGATATCATAACTTAGAAAGCAAAGGTAATAACTTAACTACCGAGTTGGCCCTGCTTTGAGCAGAGGTTTGGACCAACCTCATTTATTCTATTGCATTAGTGAGCTTCCCAGATGGATGATCTCCACTCCAGCTCCCCCATCTGCTGCCCAAACACCACACCTTGCCTCGCCTTCAGAGCAACTTGCAGTAATGAACAGAGACTGGAAACCCCACGCTGGGTTTAAGGATCTGTTGGCACCCTGGCCTGGAGAACCAGAATGGAAAGGAGAGTAACAAAATGCCAACTCTGTATCAGAACTGCAAACTCTTTGGAAGCAGCAAGGGCAGCACCAGCACAACCAAGACCAAACAGGAAAACAGCAAAACAAAGCTGAACTGCTTCCTTTGCATTTAGGGAATCGACTGTGACCAACCCAACAGGGAGTCAAACTCTACTTTTTAAATCCTTCCCCCAGCACAAGCAACTGGCAGTGGCATCAAAAGCACTGAGCACCCAGCTGGTCTTAAACATTGTCCAGCACTCAGGAAAAAAAAATTGGGCAAAAAACCAAGAGGGGAACAAATCAGCCAGGTACTACTAGTAATCTTTAAATAACTTAGGATGGAAAGAGCAAAGCAGAAATGAGCAGTGTTTTCCAAACTGTATTCCATCAGAACAGCACTGCCTCCCATGGAAATCTCTTTACAAACACTGATCTCCTTAGAGTTGTTAAATGCTATCTTTATTTCTTTTTAATTGGTTCCACTGCATTTTAAATTGCTTTTTAAAAGTATAGGCAGAGTATATAAACATGATGTGTTCAAACACTGAACTGTTAAAATACAGGAAATAAATTCGAAAAGTTTGTGGTTTTACTAGTACTCAAATTTCATTACCCAGAAATAAGGAATGTACTCATTTTAAAACAAAAAATACTTGACTATTAAGAAAATCTCAGTGTCTGGCAAGTTTCTGCAGATGATGAATTATCACAACTCAGCAAGGGGTGCTGCTGCTTTCCTTCTGACCCTGCACATGCTCCAGGTGGGTTTAAGAGTAGCAACAACCAAACGTCACCCTTTCCCACTTTGATTGTCTTCCTGCTCCCAGCACTTCAGCCTCCAGTTCCCCCTTCCCTGTTGGCATCAGGATTCTGGGCTTGGACTGGTCAGTTTTGCTGATGCAGCTCAGTGCACGCCTACAAACCCAGCTAGATGGCCTTGGAAGCAGTTAGGTGGCCACGATGTTTTTTACAAAGAGGGTGGAAAAACATTGGCACGGAGAGGTGGGGGATGCCCCATCCCTGGAGGCATTCAGGGCCGGGTTGGATGGAGCTCTGAGCTATGTGATCTAGGGGAAGGAATCCCTGTCCACGGCATGGGGCTGGAACAAGATGACTTTGAAGGCTCCTTCCAACCCAAACCCCTCTGTGACCTTTTTCACGAATCCATGAAATGAGTCAGATGGCTACAAAACCAGCGAGGTGGCCACAACAGCGAGAGGGAGGGGCAAAGGAGTTGGGGTGCTACAGGAGCCTCTGACAAAAAGCTGAAACTGGGGGTAACCCCTCAGTGGAGCTGTGCAGAGTTCCCAGCCCAGGCTCAGCTAATGCTGAGGAGATTCAAAGGGCCCTGTCCTGGTGCCAAGCACGCAGCTCCTGTGACAAGGGTCGCTTTGTCTGGCATCCCCTCCGCCTCCCAGCACATGGGAAACTTCAGAAATTCCCTTGCTGAGGAGAACAACTAAGCTGGGTAACTTGGAATTACAGGCTTTCAAGGTTAGTTTGCTGCTGGAGCCAAGACATATTTCCAGAGCTTCTCAGGACTGAAAACAACCTCCTACTTTTAATTACTTGCCTTTTATCTTTAATAAGGGATTAGGAGCTATTTTTCCAGCTAATACCTTAAAATCCAGATAATCATAAAAGCAATCAGTAATACCCAATATATGTTAATTACTCATTTTCTTCTCGTCTCTGGCTGCCCTGCTGTCACTCAGGGCCATTAATTTGTCTATAACAAGGCTGCAAATCAAAACCAACAAAAGGCTTCAGGTCCTCTGGGGAGTCACAGGTTCAGACTTGGGGGATTAACCACAGATTATATCTGCAACAACAGCAAGGAAAACAACATTATGGCCAAAGAGGTGCTGAACTATCCCACTGGCTATTTACTTATGCCTGGACCTGCTCATTCCCACAGGAGTCAAGCAAAGCAAAAGACTGATTTAAAATAAGGTAACGAGGCACCGAACAAACTTGACAGCACTAAGGGGAGCCAAAGATGCACTCACCAAGTTATTCCCAGTGAAACGTGACCCTAAAATAATTTGACATATTCCATACTAAGCTACATTGGCCTTTCCAAAGGGAATTTACAGGGATAGCACATGTAGAAGGTTTACATTCAAGATCTGGTGCTGGAATAATGATGCTGATCAGCACATTGCTCAGACAGGTAATACCTATGACTGCTCACAGAAGAGGAATTCCCAGTTCCTTGGATGCCATGAATTTGAAGGATGCCTTGCATTTACCAGAATATTATTTAGGTCTTGAGGAAGAAGTGAAGCAGGAGCAAGGATGGATGTACCTACGTGGATTTACATGCAGCATTTATGTTCTGCCCTCCTGCACAGTCATTTCTTCCATTCCTGAGTCCTGAAGAGCTGTGCCCTGCCCTGAAAGGGGTTTAATCCCCCGTGCCTCAAATGCAAACTGTCCCCATCACACTCCCGCACGTTTTCCCATTGCTGCACCTCGTGTTGGCAGTCCTGGCTCCCCTGCAAGCACGCAGCCCTACAGGTGATTTCCTGACAGCCCCGAACACCTTGCCCGTAATCCCCTGGCCACAGTCACGTGCCAGCACAGCCATCGTGTTCTCAGCTCTATAAATAGAGCCCCTGCCTGCTGCTGGCTCACATCACAGTGTACGTGTCTGCTCTGTGTGCTGTGCCCACCCTGCCCTGCCCTGCCCTGCCTGCACCACAGCATGCCAGCAGCACCCACGGGATGGCAGCACCCACCGCTTCCCAAGGGACAATAAATAACATCTCTCACAGGAAAACTGAGCTTTCCATCCCTGGGAGTGTCCAAGGCCAGGCTGGATGGATCTTAGAGCTACCTGTTCTAGTGGAAGGTGTCCCTGCCCATGGCTGGGGATGGAACTGGATGAATTTTAAGTTCCTTTCCAGCCCAGGCCATTCTGTGATGATTCTACGAACAGAGAGCACAAAGTACATGTTTGATTCCAAAGACTTGAGCAGATCAAACTGCTTAATCCAAACGAGAATAAAAAACCTAATAATTTCAGCCCTGACTACACAAATGCACTAATCCAATTTTTCACAGTGGCACCTTCTATAGGGCAGAGGGAATATTACTGTTGGTTTACATTATTAAATTATTCCATTTATTAAAGAAATTAAATACAATGTGACAGAAGGAGAGGTTGTTTATTTCTTCAGAATTTTCAGCTAAAAGGAAGGGGTGGGAAGCTGAGATCTAAGGAGAAGAGGGAACTCAGCTAGCTCATTAGTTCAGCTCCCTTAATTCCTAAAGAGATTTCAACTGAGGAGAAAACCCAAACACCAAGTAGTTGCACCATTACCAAAAAAGAGAGCCTTCCCCTTGGGTATTTTTAATGGAATTTCCATTCCCATCCACATGGAATTTGAAAAAGATGATCTAAAAGGAAGTCCTCTCCATCTCCAGGTGGATACCAGCATCAACATCTGGCATCCAATGCACAAAACTCGGATGCTGGATACCTGCACATGATGATGTCAAATTACACCAGGTATTATAAGGTGTGACTTGGCTACCAAAAGGGAACAGCAAATTCAGGGTGAAAGAAATACTAACAGCAAATCAAGTCCCCTTAAGGAAATCATGACAACGGTATCACCAGCCTAAATCCATTATTTAAATTAAAGTTCCCCACTTGCTGATTCAAATGAAGCATGATTTCTTGTACTCTGTCTGTTTTTAAGGCAAACATGGAGAGCTGATGAAGTGTCTCATGCATTACTTCACCCACTGAGCTAAACTCTATCCATACTGAGGTTCTCATTTTCATGGCTCCAGGGAAAGAAGAATCAAGACCCCAGTGAAGAAGGAATGCAGCAGTCTGGAAAGGCAAGGCAGCACTGAATCACAGAATCCCCTAGGCTGGAAAAGACCTTTAAGAACTGAAAGCTGCAGTGAAGCTGCAGCATGGAAAGGAATGTCCCAAGAATGTGTAATACACAAGCCAAGGCACACATGGATCCAGCTCAGCCATTCTGGATTGCAGAATTGTAACTGATTTATTAGTGTACACACACCAAGAAGAGATTTTTGTATTTCTTCTCAAAGGCTTAAAGCCTATTGAACTTGGAAAAAAAAAAAAAAAGAATAGTATGCTAAGGAATATACAGGTGATTTTCATGGAAATTAAATTCCTCAACTTCTCCTGCCTTCCACTTAAATATTCTTTTAAAGCCCTAAGTTAATCCAAGGTGCTGAACAGAGAGATTCATCTCCTTCTTCCCTCTCCTCCACCACAGAGCACAAGGTAAACTTTGGCCAGGATGCAGCTGTAAGCAGGAGGAACACGTGCTCCAAGAATCCCTTTTCCAGGAGCCATTGTGCTCTGCTCTGTCACTACAAAGTTCTGAACAAGGAAAATGAAATTCTAAGGGAGCTCCATCTATTTCAGAGCAACAAACTCCATCACATGGAAAAGTAACCCCAGAAGAACTAGGCAAGGACTGTTTGCTACATACTTCCATTAAATGCATGAAAGAAAATATGATGTAGAAAAAAAGATTGGTTTTCCAGGTGTTCCTCAACTTTGTGGCACCAGAGAAGCCATGGAGCAGAGAAGAGCTCTTTCATGTACACCTGATCCCTCAACTGCAACCCAAGTTCTTCTGCTTAATTTTGAGATGAACTCAAAACTCTGCCTACAAAATCCCATTTCAGATGAGAACACTTCAATGCACTGATTTAAAAAAATAGCTTTTCTTCAAAACATGTTTGTTTTTATCCCCCAAAGAGACAGGAAATTGTGAGCAATAAACCTCAAGGATGTCTTTTCCAAGATTTGAAAGCTGTCCTCCGGTGGAGATTCCCTTTTTAAACACATGCTTTGCATAACTGAAAGAAAATACATGACCTTGATAGTAAGCAAAATATTCCTTGCAAAACATTTACTCTTTTTCTTGCTGTGCAAAATCTGTCTGCTCTTCCCAATGAAGGACACCAAACCCACATTCCTCAGAAAAATCTCACACCAGATTTAATTGGAGGAGGATGTTTCTACAACAAGTTCAGCACTGACCTTATGTTTCTGAAGCTGTTAGCTTCCAAGCAAAGAGCATTTTCCCTTCTGCATCACGTGCTGCCTTGGCTGTGAGGGCTTTTCCAGAGCCAGAAGGATGCTCTTCACAGATATCACCACTTCTGCATCAAGGGCATCTGACAGAGCACCAAATGCCACCTAATGCTGTCCCCCATCCCTCAAGCATTCTTAGAATTTGTATTCAGGGTCTCTCCTCTTACAACCTTAAGAATCCCAAAATGGTTTTGGTTGGAAAGAACCTCCAAGTTTATCTCATTCCAAAACCCTGCCATGTGCAGGGACACCTTCCTCCAGCTCAGGCTGCTGCAAGCCCCATCCAACCTGGCCTTGGACCCTTCCAGGGATGGGGCAGCCAGAGCTTCTGTGGGCACCCTGTGCCAGGGCCTCACTGCCCTAACAGAGAAGAAGTTTTTCCTGCTCCACCATCCAAGCCTGCCCCATCAGCCTGAAGCCATGATGAGCCAGCCTGCCAGGAAGGAGTCCCCAGTGGCAGTGGCTCCTGCACACACAGTGTCCATGTAGAGCTGACCTGGCAAAATCCTGCCTTTCATTTCCCACAGGCACCGAGTGCAAACACCCCAGAGCTTCATCAGTGCTTCCACACACCTCAGAGCAGCAGAGGCAGCGAGAGAAACTGCTCACAGCAAATACTGTGTGCCTGACCCACAGACACCAAAGAGACAGAAAATTCCAGAGATGGCTGCACAGGCCAGAGCACAGATGTCACAGCCTTAGACATTTGCCACTTCCAAAACTTTCCCCTTGCAACCTCTTTTCCAGACGAAACCTCAGAGGAAATCCAAATCCTTATTTCCAAAAGGTGCTGAAGACCAGCAGGCTGCAGCCAAAAAGGAGATCAACTTTCCAAGTCTCCAAAATTTAAAGTAAGCCCAGAGTAAATACTGTACTTCTTCATTTCAAGAAAATGAATGCAAAGAAATATAAATGCTTTTCTAGTCAGTCTCAGCCTCACAATCCCAAAGTTACTGTAAGACAATCATTGCCAAGGGGCTGAAAATGAAGAGCCACTATCAGCATGTATCAATGGAAGTACCACACAGCATTCCTGAGATCCATAAACAGGTAACCTCTCCCAGCCAGCAACCTTCCCTGTAGCTCCTTCTATGTGCATATTAATATTATTTTGCCTTTTCTCTCCATCTTCAAAGGCTTCCAAAGCAGCCACATTCCCTTTTGACAACAGGAATTCATAGGTTCTCTCCCAGAGCATCACACCTTCCATTTCTTTGCCCTGCTCACGCCTGTCCCAAATTCCTTGGCAAAAATAGCTATAAACATGGGAACTTTGATCAATAGGGTTTTTAGCACACTTATTAGAAGTGTGCAGTAACCACTGTGGAGGAATGAGACAAATGTCGTGGTATCTTTCCATTTTTAGAAAAGCACATAATTACGTTAACAAACAACAAAACTATGAGGTTAGTCACAGCACTGCAGCGACAAGAGCCAAGTCACCAAACTTGGATTAGCTGGAGATGTAACCAAGACAAACTAGTTATTTTCCCAACCCCAAAATAACGTTCAGTGGAACATGAAGGTGATCTATGGTCTTCCAAAGTGTTTGGAATTTGCCACAGAGAGAGGATTAATTGCCTAAAAAAGGTCTGCTTTTAGCACAGAACAGCAAGTTTGGGAAATCTAAGGAAAGGATGCACCAGACAATTTCTGACTGCAAACAATCTATCTCCTCTTGAGCAGAAGGGCAAAGAAGAGCCCCTTTCTTTGTTCATAGATATTACATCCACTTTCGGAGAGCAAAGGAAAAAAAAAAAGGAAAAAAAGAAAAAAAAAGGAAAGAAGACATCCCCAAGCTCCAAAGTGCTGCCAAGGCTCAGTTACAAGCCTACAGCTCCAACTGCTGTGAAATATGGGATGTCCTGAAAGCCAAGCCTTGCCACGGCTGCTACCAGCTGTGAGCTGTAACAGGATGCAAGTCATCTGCAGGACTTGGCTTCTCCATGAAGAATTCACGAGGATAAGGTTCACTAAAACCTATTTTGCTCTAATGATGGAGGAAGGACATCAAGCAGAAGCTGAGGAACAAGACCTTCTTCATCCACAAACCTTACACAGCTGCCATCTTTTTCAGCTTCTTAATATTGAACCTTCTGATAATTAAGAAGTACCATAAGCACAAAAACCACTCTATTCTACAGGCACAGGTTTTGGACAAAAATCCACATGTGTTACCACTCTTACACAGAAAAAAAAAAAAGGTATTTTGAGACTGGAAATGAAACCTGAATGCAAAAAAAACAGGACAGACACAGCTGAAGCAGGACAGACACAGCTGTCCAATGCAGCACCAGCAAAAAGGGTGAGCACATTGCTGTGACCACCAGCAGCAGCTCTTGACAGGTATTCTCCACGTGGGACACGTGGCAGTGCCTGACCTCCCACAACAGGTGACAAGTCTGTCTCAGCTGTGACTCAAGGACAGGGTCCACAACTGAATCACTGCTTCCAAGGGGAACTCCAAAGGGAGCTGCTCATCTCCCTAACTAACTCAAGAAAGATCCCAAGCCAAGGGAATGCCCCGTTTTTTATGAGCCCATTTTCCCAACAGCAGGGGGAAGTTAGGAAAACACCTGGCAATTCATTTAGTGACAGCTGAGCTGGCATTAAGGCAAGTACAAATAATTGGGAAAATGACAATGCTCCTCCTAAGTACTGCTGGGGGAAAAAAGCTCTTTTCCGTTACTGCACTTCCAAAGGGACAGCAGGAGAGCCATAGAGAGCAGGCTGGCTGCTTGCCCCAGAACACTCATCCTCCTGGCATCAGTTCACAATAAAGCTCAGTGAGGGAGACAGCTCCAGCACAGCCACGCTTCAGGAAAGTGCCACGAACCCCGGCTCAGCCCGGACAGTGGGCAGGGAACTGCCAGTCCAACTCTAGTCCCCTGTGCTCTGATTCTCCCACTCGTGACAAAGAGAGTAGATACCAGGAATAGTCATCCCAGCACAGCAAAGCAGCTGAGAGCACTCCCTGAAATCCTGCCCGCTCCCAGGTTTCCCCACGTAGCCAGAGCAGCTCCAGAGCGGGTCACTATTTATATCAGCAATCCGCCCGGCACTTCAGCAGATGCTTAGCTTTAAATATGCCTTTAAATCTTCTTGCAAGCAGCCAGGCTAAATATATGCTTTGGGTTAAATTTGTTCCTGGTGCTGTCCTGGGTCACAGGCCTCGTTCTGCCTGCGCTGTTCCTATAGATAGGTGCTGGCATTGGTGTGTCCTGGCAGCCTGTCCCCATCCCACCGAGGTCCCTCCCACCCTTACTCCAAAGCAGGACCAAGCCTTCGGACAAGGTGATGCTGAAACATCCAACAATCAACAATTGCTCACACTTAACCCCAAATGTGGTTTTGTCTGCAGCTGGAAGCTTCTTATTTATTGCCAAAGCCCTAAAGGAAGCCACAAGACAAAGAGCAATCTCATTCCAAAGGCAAACAATTCATTACAAAATACTGCCTGTTTTGCATATACACGCATATGTATTTTAAGCAGACAAGGCAAAAGACATAGAAATCTTCTCTCTTCACCACTGAATAAAAGTCACATTGACACAGCTGGAAGTAAAAACAGACTGAGCTCAGCACAAAGCCCCCAGCACCATTTTTCTGGGCAGATCCCAAGGCACACTGTCCATCCCTAGACCTTCATCAGTTTCCCGTTCCCCTTCCCATACCCACACGTGATATGCATCACTGGGAGCTGCAACACACTGTGAAACCCTTGGGCCAGGCCAAAGAGAAGTCTAAGTGACTCCAGGATTGGTCTAAACTAGGATTTTAGAGCGAGAGTCTGATATCTGAAGCGCACAACAGACAAAATTTAGCTCTGAAATAACCCACGTGAATAACTGCAATCAGCATGTTCTATGGTCCCTGAGCTGCTTCTTTTGCTTCCAACCAGCAAACAGGACTCTACAAGCTGTGACAGTCACTTATCTAAACCAGTCCATCCTCAAATAATCCCCATTTCTTGCAGCAGATGTGAAACAACTGTTCTGGATGACACTACTTTCCTGTCACTAGGAATGCAGAGTATGTTTCAAGCCCAGCTTTAATGCTAAGCCTAGACTAATCCCCCCAGAGAGCTTTAGCCAGGCTTTGCCAAAGGAGCAATTGTTGCCACGAAACACATTTATACTGTTTGAGGGTGAGCAGTTTATTCTGCAGAGCAAGCTCCCATTCCCACGATGAAATCCATGCTGGAATGAAATTACTTGAGTGAACTTCTTTTTTGCTATAGACTCATCCTTCTGAAGTTTCCCATCCTTGGCAATTTACCTTGGAACAGGCTGGGACAAGAAAACCATGATACACAAAGTAGGCAGAACAAATCCCACACAGATAAAGGGAAACCCAAATAAGAGTGAGTCCAACAAAACGGGGTCAGGCATGTTCTCTAGGAATATCCAAAGCTGTGCCCAGCAGAAGAGCCAAGTCAGTTCTCTGCCTGGGAGCAAGGAGCAGGCAGCAGCCTTCTCTTCAGTGTCTGGAGCCTGACAGGTTTGCAGCATGGCCCAGAAAGCTCTGCCCAAGACCAAAGGCACACATTGAAATCCTTCCATTAAACTCTTTCCTGGCCTCAAAACTTCCATTGCTTTCATGGACTTGAAACCAAGCAGTTTCAGGTGACTTCTGTAAGCCTACTGCCTCATCAGGACCCCCATGATCTACCCCACCCACCAAAGTGCCCCCAGATAACTCCCAAAACTTTGTGGATCCGTCACTTGCCATGTCCCCAGTTGGTTTTTTTCACACAGCCTGCTCCACAGGCACCATGGAGTGTTTGACTGTGAAACACAACTGCTCCCACAGGTGATGTTGTACCCTCCTGCTGGGACAGTAGCTGGCACACCACATCCAGCCCATGGAATGTAAATGAAGGTGCAGTATCTCCACAGGGTGTTTCAGTATGGCACATCTGGAACTCTCAGACAGGGAATGCACAGAGCCTCTTGGAGAGAGACTCACTCACTTGGAATACCTTTCTTTATCTTCTCTCAGTCTGAGGGAACCCATCTCTGCCCAGATTTGGTGCAGGACACTTGCTAATTGCCTTGATAGCTACATCTCGTGGCTATCTAAATGTTATGGTTACAGAATAACTTCTCTGCCCTCTCGCACCAAGCCCACCAAGTTTCACCACCTCGAGGCAGCTCCTTCTGCTGTTCTTCCCTATGAGTGCTGCTCTTCAGTCGTGTCCTTTTCTCCTGACTGATGACTCACATCCTAAGAGCCACTTATCTGTCAGGAAGACACCACCAGCACGACCCCAGGGCCACAGTGCCACCAGTGCTCCCAGCCAAGGACCACACTGTGGCTGCAGCACTGCCAGCTGCTGTCCTTATTCCCTGTATCACAAAGCTGATCCCCACCATCAGGGTCATGCATCCCCTCCAAACCACAGTTGCCAGCTCCCACAGCCCAGGCACTGTGAGCAGGCTCCTGTGGATGGGTTTCCAAGGGGGAAGGCCCAACCAGCTCACGGGGGAGCCAGCAGGCTCTTCCCTGTGCTGTGCAAATGGGATTTGACAGCTGTGCTTTCTGCCTCCTCCAAGCTCCCAGCTGCCTTCCACTCAGGAAGAATGGGTTGGTTCCAAGGAAGCAAGGTGTGGATTTGAACTCCTGCACTGCTCTGACATGGAGGAGCTGGGTTATTAATGAGAGCCTGAAGCCAAGCCCAGCCAGTCCCAGTGTTACAGAAGTGCCCTCGCAGCAGGAATACAGGAGGTAACTGCTGGAGGTGTCCACAGGTCAGGATGCTCAGAACACCTCTCCTTTGCTGCCCAGCCATGCAGTTCCCAGGGATTGATTTATACCCCCACAGCTCAGAGCTCGACCAAACAGCCCTGCTCCATCGGGTGACTCCGTTCCCATTACTATATTTAAATATCAAGGACTCCAGTTGGAAGCAAGACTTGAACACATCCCAATACCACATTCAGGCTGGGACTAGTCCATTCCTAGGCTTCCCTACAAAGAGCAGGAAAGGCTCTGCTGATTTATGCATACTTTTATTTCCATGTAACTGCTGAGGCCTACAATGCCCTTCCAGGGGTATCCAAAGCAGAAGGAAAAGGTGCCACAAGGGCTCTGCCTTTTTTGAGACATAAATCCAGCCATGCAAGTACAAACACATCTATGCAGAACCACTTAGATTTCAGCCAACATCTGCTTTCCTCTTTAGCTGCAGATGACCAAGTTCTTCCTACATGTAATTTTGATGTACTTAATATCATTATTTTAAAGTTCACTCAGTGGGTAAGAAATCAGCAAATAAATCCAAGCAAAGACTCTGCTCTGCTTGAACAGATGTCGGATCAGGATTCCAAGTTGAACAGAACAGCCCACAGCTCTCAAGGATTTTGTTTCAGATATCATACAGATTTATTTTAACAAATACATCATTTTTCTGGGAAATGGCTGACACTAACAAAGTGGAAAGGAAACAATTTTCAATGATCAAGTACTAGAGCTGAGGTCTTCTCCACCCTATCTTGTTTATTTCTTCAGGTTTTTGACACAGAAATCTCAATTTTCATTTCCTTTCATGGTGGCCCTTTGGCTGCCAGTGCTTCACATGACAGCTACAAGAGCCAATTTTGGCTTATCAGGAAGTCAAAGAGATAAGAGATAAAAGAAAGGCACCTCTTGCCTCTCACTAAGTTGCTGTTTCCTCAAGGCATGAAGAATTCACAACACAGCATCTGCTCCAACCTTGAAAGCACGATGACCAGAATGACTCCATAAGAAAGACAAATCCCGGAGTGGGTCCTTGGACTGGACCCACAGCTGCAGAAGAGACAGCCTGAACACAGGCCTTGCCTCAAGAGCATCTGCAAGGGCACACTGAGGCTTGGGGTTCCTGAACCATGACAAATGTATTTATTTCAGGGCTCACACAAAGTGCCAGAGCCACGTCCATAGGGGTGCAGAGAGCCCTTTGCTATCAGCTCAGTGTACTGGATGGAATTGATTGGCTTGTCTTCCTATTTAACACTCCTCTTTGGTCATTCCAGCCTGCTGGCACTAGAGCACATCAGGTTTTTGGCCTCAAGATTTCTGGATCCCCCTCCAAATGTTTCTTAATCTTCTAATTCCCTAACAGCTTCGCTGTGCAATCTAAATTATCTGCATTGTCGTTGTGCCAGCTCAGTCTGGAGGAGAAGACAAATTGAGGGTGCCAAGTGAAAAGGGAAAGGGCTCAGACAGTACTGGTACCAGGGAGAAGGGAGCAGCCCTGCAGCTCCACAGACATCCCTACATTGCTCTCCACCACTCTGCTGAAACATCAGTTGATTCCACTCATCAGATCAGCAGCATCTGCTGCCATCCCAGCACTGCCATCTGTGCACTCATTTCCCAAACCCACAATCCCAACTGGAGGTTAGTAGGTCATGGGCATAATTCTCTGTCCCTCCTGGGATGGGAGGAGACTCGGTTCCAAGCCCCAGGAAGCACTGAGAGCCCCCTGTTACCCATCCTCACCCTCTCCAGGAGGCCAAGTGCCCCTTTCCGAGGGTAGAAATAAAAAGGGACTGGCAAACCTACCCCAGCTCTGCTGATGGGCAATTTACTGGTGAAAGAAGAGCAATAAAAAAAATGACACCAGCTTCAAGAACAGCCAGAGCAAGGATCAACATCTGAAATGATCCCAACAGGAGAAATTCAATGAGGTTCACAAGAGGCAACTGAAAACACAAAGAAGGGTTGAGAGAAGAAAATCCAGGTGTTGGTTCTATTGACAGTAAAAGATAAACCCTTGTTTACATATCCAGAGAAATGCAGAGCTTTAGGATGGCTTGCTCTCATACTGTCTAACAGATTTGCAAGGAGTTTCATCCAAAAAG